GATGGTAATGGTCATTAAGTGTCAAATTAGTGAAATGACACCTTTAATAACTTTCAGAGATGCAAAAATTTATCAATTTAATTGTTGAATTATATAACTGTCTATGGTAACATTGTTGATTTCAAGCTTGGGCAAATGAGGAGGGTTGTGTCATGCCCATTTCCATGGCTCACTCAAAATGAATGACGTGCTAATCCTAGGTTTTACCCAGAATAACAAGTTGTATCTCTCGACTATAGTATTAAATGAGTTTAGTCGCCACATCAACACTCAAGTGTGATGTTGCATAAGCAACAGGCCTCTCAAATTTAACAATTTATTACAAACAAAAATTCTTAGGTATTAGGTACAAATTCAATACTTGCAAACTTCAATTCAAATAACAAACAAATATACAAGCTTTCATATTAAATATAACATGTGCTAACCTGGGTGACAAGGCTCAAAGCCAGTCCACCTCTACCGGCTCTTGCCGTTCGACCAACCGATGAATATAATCCCGTGGAAACCTGGAGATAAATAGTTGCAATATGCTAATTGAAATGCTTCAAATGTCTATTAAGAAGGTAAAAAAATTGGCACAAAAAAGGTAACCTTGGAACATCATAGTTGATAACAAGGTCAACTGTAGGAATATCCAATCCACGACTGGCACATCAGTTGCTGCAGTACAGAAACCTTTCCTGATTTAAATTGATGAAGAGCTTCAAGCCTCTGAGTTTGTGATTTGAATGAATAAAGAGCTCTCTTCTTATCAAGACTTCCAGCATTAAACTTAAACGATGACAATCTCTGAAATTTGGAAACATTTAGGAACATCTAAAAACTATTTACAAGAGAATGACAATAGTAGGTAGGATCACTTTTATTATTTTACATATCATTGTGCTACCTAACTCAGAAATTCTATCATTTAGGATCCTTATTCAAAGGGATTTTCTTAGCAATTACCAGTTAATTGCCCTTTGATTAGGGTTAGCATTTCAGTATGCAATCTAACTTGAAGTATAAAAGGCATAAGTGCGTGAGCATTGTTTTATGACATCACATCAGATACACTATATAAATTCAAGAACCTATTTACCTCCTTCATTATCTAATATCATATTTCAACAGGATAAAAGATGAACGTAACTGCTGCCTTTTTAACTGGGATATCTGAATCAGAATTTAGAAACAAAATAGCCTTTCATAAAGAAAACAAAAATAGCCAACAAGTCAATGACCTAATTTTCAGAGTCCTGTCAAATTCATGAT